TGGACTGGGGAGGATGAGTGGAAAGGGAGGGACAAGGCGGTGGTGGGAGAAAAGGGGCCTTACGATTAGCATGTATAATGTAGGGGGTGCACAGGGAGGGCTGTACAACACAGAGAAGACAAGTATTGACTCTACAGCATCTTACTACGCTGATGGACAGTGACTGTAATGGGGTATGTGGGGGAGACTTGGTGATGGGGGAGTCTAGTAAACATAATGATCCTCATGTAATTGTAGATGAATGATACCCCCCAAAAAAAGTATATTGTAGAGAATTATATAGTATGACCTTGTTTTTATTGAAAAAAAAATTTTATATAGCTATGTATGTATAAATGTTATGTACGTACATATACTTTTATAAGCATGAGAAACAATTTAAAATGATACCCTTAAATACAACCAACAGTGTGGAAAATGGGGCTGCAGTGTCTGGCAAGACATTCACTTCTTTACATACTTTGGAATAAATCTGTGAGTTGAACTCTTTTACATCATTTTAAGGCTCTTTTGTATTTTACAAATTTTGTAATGAAAACTGCTCCTTTAAAAAAAAATGAACTGTTAAAAAGCTAGAAAGAAAGCACAACACAGGAGCCATTTGTAAGTAAAAATGGCAGAGAAATGAAAGGGTTCACTAAAGTCTCAACAAAAGCAGGGCCAACTAGAAAAAAAAATGAGTGACATTCCAGTACCATAAGAGAAGCAATTGGAAATGTTTATAAAATTCTTAAAACGCGAGTGGACAAAATGTAAAAGCTGCCATGAGCAAACTTGTTAACAGTCATGAAAACCAATCTACTATGACTTTTTTAAGAAGAGCCTACTTTGGTCAAATCAAGACCCAAAGTCAGAGACAGAAGAAGTTGGAGGTGACATGTTTTGTAACCATTTAAGGAACTAGTGCAGAATATTTTGATCCAAGTGGAGGGTGCAGTTCTTGGTACAGTCACTTTTCAGTTTGGATTCAGTAGGGACAGCTCTAACTATTACATGTTAAACACTCAGAATGGGCAAGGTCTCTGTCAAGAGCTTTACATGCATTATTCCTCCAACAAGCATGACAATCTTAGGAGAGCTGCAGGGGCAACTCCTACTTGCATTTTATAAAGGCATTGAGATACACAAGGTACTTTCACAGGCATAAAAACATAAAGTTAAATAACTGGCTGGAGGTCACACTGGGTGTCAGTGGAGGATTCAAGACTTGAAACCCTGACCCTCTGATAGCACCGCCTATTTTCCAGAGTAGGAGCCACGGGCTGAGGCCCCAAAACCTCAACATTGGGTCTCTGTGCCAGCAGCACATATAATCTCGATTTTAAAAAATACTTGATCAAAGTTAAGAGGAGAGCCACCACTCATAACATATATTACCTGATAATTGGCATATTCTATCCTATATAAAACCTGCACTGGTTAATTCTTTTTTTTTCTTTTTTTCAAATTTGAAGACCTAATTGGTTTTATTAAGCAATTCATGAATTGGGCAGCATCCCATTTAGCAAGTAGAGAAATGCTCCCGGTCAATTCTTAATTTTCCAGGTTAAAAAAAAATGACTGTTGCTTCCCAGCACTTCTGGGAATATACAGAATAGAGAATAAGTTTTACTTATTACCATAGTGATAAGCAAATAAGTAAAATTAATACAAAATAGAATTCATTCAGAGTAAGACAGTGGATGCCACTTCATCTTAAAATTTATAACCTTGGACATGTAGGAATAAGCTTATTATGTATTATAGATAGGGATAGTTATATAGGAGATTTGACTCTGTATGTTATAATATTCAAATAATTGAAACATTGTTCAAACTTACATTGATGCAATTTTTTGCATATTGTGAACATTTTAAGTACAATTCAAGCCATATACTGTAATCAGCACAGAACATTCTGAAATTACTAATAGTCCATTTTCTAATGAGTGTCAGTTGTAAGTTACAGATCATAACCACGTGGGATCAGCCACAGGAACCCAGTGAGAAGCTGACATAGCTGGGTGGTGCAGAGTCTCTGGTTGAACACTTTGGCCAGGAGATTAGTTGCTTCAGGACCATCAGTTGACAGATCCCAATGACCACTGGCACATAGGAGATCGGATTCCTAACAAGGAGACCAAAGACGGTATCCAGTGGCTTTGGCCAAGGTCCATTCCATGTGGAGATGGCTACTGAATCAGGCCCATCTGCTACCATGTCTGAGCATGGTGCTGGCCTTGCACATCTTCCAAGGGTGGCTCAGGGGTACCAGGTGGGCATGGTACAGGGCAGAGGTGGCAGCAGAGAGGTAGGCTTCTGTAACTGAAGTTACCCAGGATAGACACCAGAAGAGTCTCATCCATGACCCCTTAAAGACTCCTACGTGGTGGAAGGATGGACTTTTGTTGGTGTGTGGGCAAAATAAGGCAAATGGTGGTTATGGTCTCTCAGTCTCCCCAGGGCCCTTGCCTTTGATGATGGGCCCTGTCCTGGTGTGCACCACACTCCCCGCTTTGCCTTCTTACCTCTTACCCTGTGGTAAAAATAGTACCTCTCTAGGGTTGATCAGTGTGTGTAAAAGCACTTAGGACAGTTCCTGACACATTCAGCAATCAGCAATGTTACTTGCTATGATTATTAAAAATGAATCCTTCAGGTATTATCCCAAAGCTTCCCCAGTTAGACTTCCCTGATATCTCTTTCTAGATGGATCATCAAAGACCATCTTCGATCCCCACCCAACCACCTTGTAATTTTGTATTCTGTCATCATGAGTGACCCCCTCCAGACTGTCTAGTCATCTCCCCAGCCAGCAGGGAGTATACTCGGAGGGCCCAGCACAGTGTCCTGCACATACCGGGCACAATAAACATTTAGCAAATGAGCTAATAATTTTAAGGGCTCTCTTTCCCCTTTAAGAATTCAGTGTTTTCTTTTTTTAATACAGAAATAAGCTTAGGAAAAGCAAAGGCGAGTTTTTATGTTCCTCTGTGGCCTGTAAACCTCACTACCACACTATTCTTGTTTGCTTTATGTATTTTGTACCGGAAGGAAAATTATCAGTACCCACTGCATTTGATAGCTACACAATGCGGTCCCAAGGACAGTGCTGAATAGTTTTCAAAGTAATCAGTGATACTGCCATGAAATTGTTGCCCAAATGAAGAGCTCTTATCCAGTGACTGGGTGCAGTAAGAGACAGTTTTCTTTGTTAATACGTCTGTGGCTACAGAAGAACCTCTTATCTGAGGCAGTAGTAAAAACTTTTCTCAGCAGGTGAGAGCATTCTAAATTTGTCTCTTAGCAACAGGTTTCTCAAAGGACCTGAAACGTACACAATTTCAGAAGATTTTTCAGTACATACTTTTTGTTTGGAGAAGGGAAAGCTGGGGGATGGGTGGGGTTGTATGTCAGAGCCATGTTCCTAACTTCTTCCAGTCAGTGACACATTGACATCTTGTTGAGTCACACCATAGGTTCCCTCTAAAAAAGCCAGGTCAGTAAAAATGCCTCAGGTGCCTACTTTATGTAAAGGGCTCTGAAAGAGGAATTATCCCTATTTTTCCTGGGCCCAGCAGTAAAATAATTTAACAATTTTGGTGATCTAGGATCCCCACCTCAACCATCTCCATGGATAGTAAATGAGGAATTAGGTGGCTTGCTAACCCCTTTAGGGATTTTCCAATGTGGATATTGATCTGCTTGCTATTACAGTTGGCAGCTGGGGAAATGAAGATCGGAGGAAGGCCAACTGGGAGAGTCATTGAAGACGACAGCACGTTTCTGATTGTCAAGGATGGAGACATTTCACCCAAGCAAAACTCTGCAGCTAACTTCCTCACTCTAGTTTTGTGGACTTACACCTTATCTTCTTAATTTGTTCTTCCAAACTGGCCTTCACATAGTAACAACAACAGGAACAATATTAGGTAGCATTTACTGAATCCCCACCGCGGGCCTGACTTAGGTTACTATCTTAGAGGTATTATCTTACTTAACCCTTACAACAATTCTTTGAAATAGCCACGATTAGTATCTCTATCAAACCCAGAGCACTGAATCAATTTGTCAAAGTCACACTATTCCTAAAAACAGAGCTTGGAAAAATTTTGCTCACTGAAGTGACTAATCTGACTTACCCAGATCCATGTGGGTGGTGTGACAAAATCTTTCTGTAGGCCTGAGGACACCATGACTTGAGTGTTCAGTCTTGGAGATGACCAAGAACCATTTGAATCTCAGAATGCGAAATACTTCGCATCAATCATGGGGACTTACCTGCCATTCCCAATTAAATACACTACCCTGAAGTATCCCTTTAGATGTAACCACAATAGATTTCTTTTTTTAAACGGATTTGGAAGCAAGCTGAATTGTCTGTCGGGCTGCCACACTGAACAAATTGCCTGCACAATTGGCAAATGCCTTCCAAGCACAGGCACACTCTAACTGTTTCTCTCCATTCACTGCCATCTTGAATAAAGAGAAATCTAGCATTGACTCAACTCCCCTCCCCACCAAAACTCCCCAGAAAAGCTTATTATTTCTTGGAAAAGAAGATTTGTCCACTGATGCCCATAAGCATGAATTGAGAAAATGATAATTTTTAGAAGAAATTTTTATTTAAGGGAACAATGTGTGAGAACTGGACTATGAGAACAAGGTACAATGTCAGTATGAACCGGAAGCAAGAGAATGATGAGCCTAAGCCATTAAACTAGGCAACTAGAGTCATATTTCCTCTCACCAGGATCAGACCTAGGAGACAAGGTGAGCACCAAGTGATCTCAAAATTTAGCATGTTCAGCATGCAGTGAGGTACCGCTGTCGACTTCCATGTTTTCTTTGTGGGCTACAGCTCCCTGTACCTCCAAGAAGAGTTTCCCACTAATTTTTTTTTCATCTCTAGGCTTTTCATTTTTTTTGTCAGTGGCTGCACCTTGAAAGGCAATGCATTTTGCATCAGTTACTGTACAAATTTTTTTAACACACTTTTTTCTCTCTTTGTTTCAGAGGCTACCCTTGAAAGACAGGCATTTCACTTGCAGCAAAATGTAAGTACATTTCCTCCTAGAAATGGTATCTACTTCTCAGCTGTTCTTCCTAATCTTTATGTCTCCCATCTCACATGGCTGCATTTTTAAAGCCTAGCTCAACAAATGCAGCCACAGTTTGAATCTAACATTTCTCACTGTGGATGTGTGTAACATCATGGAACATTTTATAAACCATTTGGCAAGCAGATTGGACCTGACTGTGGCCGTGACTATACTGGATCTAAAAGCTAGAAAAAGTGGGGAGGAATAAGTCAGGCAATATTCTCTTGGACAGGAAGACCGGGTGGCACCAGACATTTGCATATTTGGGTTCTCTCAAAGGGATGACCTCCCACTCTTTGCCTGGTTACTCCTCCCAGTCACAGTTTAACGTTTGACAGCTATCTTAGTAAGCCCCTCCTGCGTGTACTGCATTCCTGTCACTCTGTCAGCCACTCTTCTCTCTAGAATGAATTTCCCATGTACATTGCTTTACTCTTGGTACTCCCAGCGTCCATATCCAAATTACAAACCCCCTCTATTCTAAAAGACCAAATAAAATTATGCCAGGCCCAAACTGGGAGTTCTGAATATTTTAGACTTTTGCCTTTGAGAATTAGGATATGAATACTTTCTTTTCTGTCTTAGTAAAATATGTGTAAAAATTTAAACATTTAAAAAATGAACGCTCTGTCTGTCTCTGGAATAACTTGATAATACCTGGGTTCAAAAAGCAGGGGATAGGTGTGGATTCACTGTAAAGACTCTACCTATTCAACATAGCTCAGATGGTATTCAGTTGCTTGTCTGGCAAGCAGATCAACAACCACCAGGAAGAAAGTTAAGCAGATAAGCCAGGGTTGCACATCAACTCGCAGCCTCCGATGAGCACAGAATTTCTAGTAGAGGACACGTCCCACAGGTCACTGGAGCACTTAATTTGCTATCTGTGGATCCATGAGAATTCAGAGGTCTCACTTGAATTATACACAGTGTATGTGTTCTAATAAATTCTCTTTTGAATCACCCAGTCCCTGAGAAAACTCTGTATTCAGCTGAACAGCAAGAAAAACTTAGCTTTTGCTGATTTCCCTAGATGATGTTTTTCTTGTTTGCTCTCTAGAATAAATTGACCCCTCTGCTATACACCCAACTTTCAGCAAGAGAAACACTCACCCTTAAAATGATCAAAGTTTTATGTCAATGTATTATGCATGCACTGAAATCTCTTTTTAAATGTCAATTTCTGTATTATATCACTTTGGTCTTCATTGCACTATCAAGACACCTGCACATTATGAATGTTTTAAGCAACTTTTACCACTAAAGTCATGTTAGATTTTATGAGCAGTCTCCCTTTTCATGTACTAAGTATTTTATTTGTACAAATGTTAACTTCTGGCTATATTCTTTCTTTTGAACATGGAAACTGTTCAGGAGAAACTGCCTGTGTTTACTTTTCTGCATATCCATATTTGGTAGTTCTTTGTCACACTGTTTCTGCCTATTTAGGCTTACCACTGATTTAAATGATTTAATGCTAAATCCTAAAAGGTAGTTGGAATGTGGTTATGTGAATATTAGATGAAGGACAATTTAAGATAGCATTTTGAGTCATTATATACAAAATATGCAACTATAAACACATATGGCTATTACCTCAAGATCTCTTTATCAAAATTTCAGTCGAAAGACCTTTGTGTCCCAGGTGAAGGGGGAAGATGGAAGATCATCTTTTTCATCTTACAGAGGTCAATCTGTGATCCTTTAGTTTCACATTTTTCCTCAGGAACAAAGTGCTTGGTGACTTATTTGATTAGTAAATATTCTGAGAAGTAGAATTGCACTAGGATTGTACACAGTCCAGACAAAATGGGTCTACACACTTCATGTCGTCTCTGAGGAACTCATGGAAATGTGGTGTGATCCATGGAGTCAAGGAACTATTTAAAATCATCAGGAATTGTGACTTGGGTTCATTTTGGCAGTCCGACTTGATCCGCTCCTCCCGACTTGGCATTAGGCCCTAACGACGACTGGACTATACAGCCGATGCACACGGAAAGCGACCTACTCAGCGCTCCTTTCAGGCAAGGCTTCACCTGTAGTGAATGGCAGGGGGCTTTCCAAGTAAAGGGCCTGAAAATGTGTATGTGCTGTGTAAAATCCCAGCTCCACTGATGGAGGACAGCCTTAGCCAAGTCAGGGAGAGACTCTGGCATGGAGAAAGAGGGTGGGCAATGCAGGGAACTCGGGATTAACAATCAGGAGGTTCATGTCTGAGTCCCAGATCAGTCCCCCAGAAGTGGCAGAAGTTTGAGGATGTTCGTTAACCCCTAAGTTTCTAAGTATCCTTATTATGGGTGGGAGAAGGAGAAAGGAAAGCGTTTGCCCTGACTTTGTCAATGGGTTATAATAAGCGCACAAGATAATGTTTCAGAAAGATTTACTATCTAAAAATGCTTTGTGTCTTAAAGGGATTCTCATTAGCTTATTGGGAGAAATTCAGAGGTCTCACTTGAATTATACACAGTGTATGTGTTCTAATAAATTCTCTTTTGAATCACCCAGTCCCTGAGAAAACTCTGTATTCAGCTGAACAGCAAGAAAAACTTAGCTTTTGCTGATTTCCCTAGATGATGTTTTTCTTGTTTGCTCTCTAGAATAAATTGACCCCTCTGCTATACACCCAACTTTCAGCAAGAGAAACACTCACCCTTAAAATGATCAAAGTTTTATGTCAATGTATTATGCATGCACTGAAATCTCTTTTTAAATGTCAATTTCTGTATTATATCACTTTGGTCTTCATTGCACTATCAAGACACCTGCACATTATGAATGTTTTAAGCAACTTTTACCACTAAAGTCATGTTAGATTTTATGAGCAGTCTCCCTTTTCATGTACTAAGTATTTTATTTGTACAAATGTTAACTTCTGGCTATATTCTTTCTTTTGAACATGGAAACTGTTCAGGAGAAACTGCCTGTGTTTACTTTTCTGCATATCCATATTTGGTAGTTCTTTGTCACACTGTTTCTGCCTATTTAGGCTTACCACTGATTTAAATGATTTAATGCTAAATCCTAAAAGGTAGTTGGAATGTGGTTATGTGAATATTAGATGAAGGACAATTTAAGATAGCATTTTGAGTCATTATATACAAAATATGCAACTATAAACACATATGGCTATTACCTCAAGATCTCTTTATCAAAATTTCAGTCGAAAGACCTTTGTGTCCCAGGTGAAGGGGGAAGATGGAAGATCATCTTTTTCATCTTACAGAGGTCAATCTGTGATCCTTTAGTTTCACATTTTTCCTCAGGAACAAAGTGCTTGGTGACTTATTTGATTAGTAAATATTCTGAGAAGTAGAATTGCACTAGGATTGTACACAGTCCAGACAAAATGGGTCTACACACTTCATGTCGTCTCTGAGGAACTCATGGAAATGTGGTGTGATCCATGGAGTCAAGGAACTATTTAAAATCATCAGGAATTGTGACTTGGGTTCATTTTGGCAGTCCGACTTGATCCGCTCCTCCCGACTTGGCATTAGGCCCTAACGACGACTGGACTATACAGCCGATGCACACGGAAAGCGACCTACTCAGCGCTCCTTTCAGGCAAGGCTTCACCTGTAGTGAATGGCAGGGGGCTTTCCAAGTAAAGGGCCTGAAAATGTGTATGTGCTGTGTAAAATCCCAGCTCCACTGATGGAGGACAGCCTTAGCCAAGTCAGGGAGAGACTCTGGCATGGAGAAAGAGGGTGGGCAATGCAGGGAACTCGGGATTAACAATCAGGAGGTTCATGTCTGAGTCCCAGATCAGTCCCCCAGAAGTGGCAGAAGTTTGAGGATGTTCGTTAACCCCTAAGTTTCTAAGTATCCTTATTATGGGTGGGAGAAGGAGAAAGGAAAGCGTTTGCCCTGACTTTGTCAATGGGTTATAATAAGCGCACAAGATAATGTTTCAGAAAGATTTACTATCTAAAAATGCTTTGTGTCTTAAAGGGATTCTCATTAGCTTATTGGGAGCTCTCTTTGTTTTAGTGGAAGTCCCTGGGACTCAGGCAAACTTGGGGCCTTAAAGTCAGTACCACACAGTAGAAGAAAATATATCTGTCCTGGGTCAAATCAAGTCCCTGGAAAGACTTGAATCCACATTTTCTGTTTCTTTTTAACTACCCATATTCTTTGGGACCCTGCCTCTGATGGAAGAGAATTGTCTTCTGGGTGGTGTGGGCAAGAAAGTTGCCAAACAAACCTGAATTATCCAGAGGCCTGTAAAATGCACAATTGCTTTTTAGGAGGCATGGTGATACTGTGTGTTCCTTTGGATTTTTGGCAGTAACGATTTTCTGCAATTTGTGGTTTTGCAATTCCTCTTTACACAGACAACACTCTGGCTCTCATTCAATGCCCCACTGGCTGGGGGGAGGGGGAGAGAGAGAGAGATTCCCTGGGGCTCTCACCACTCCAGAAAAATAAGAAATGTTAATAAAATTAAGTCAGAATGCTTGAGAGTAGTGGAAGCTGGCTGGGTAGCAGGGAAGAAACAACTTATAGTAAACTGCATGGTGTGATGGTGTGGTTGGGATTTTTATCTGGGGCTATTGTCAGCTAGGCAAAGGTTGAGTGAGCTTTGTCTGGGTTGTCATCTCAGTCTCTTTTCTTCTCTTCTTCTGTGTTCAACACGCCTACAGCAGCGTCCCTTCTGCTGGCTGCCTCTGGCCCCTTCTGACCTTAGTCGGATTATCAGTAAGTGCTCCATCTCAAGGTGTCCTCTGGCCAATTGCATTACCTTCGTTTGTGTAAATTACCTGAAGATCCATGTGCCAGAATTTTTGCCCTCCTCCTGGTTGCATTTTCTTCTTCTTCCCCAAAGGCTAAAATGCTCTTTGCAGAGGGAGGTCTGTGGCCCGCATTGCAGAGGCAGTGCAAGCATGTAGGTTTATCTAGGCGAGAGTTACTTGTTCTGTTTTTATTCATCACCTCTGCAAAGGCTTTGCTGA